AGGGAGGGAGAATGGTTAATTCCCTGATCTCTCACTTTATTGGGGCCTTTGAAGTGTTAACAGATAATGGGGTGAAGCGGCTTGGTATTGGATTAAGAAGGTTGTTGGAACGATAAAGAGAATGAGTGATGGAGTGAGGCAGAGAGAAGGGAAATCAATAATTCTGATAGGGATGAGGTTGGGAGAGGAGACTGAGGTGAAGAACATGAAAGTGAGGGGGGTTTTGTAAATAAATGGGTTTAGATTTAGGGTTTTTCAAAGGTGACATGCTGTGGGACTAACTCAGTTCTATTGTTCTGCAGAAGCAGAGAAGTCACTGAACAGGCTTTCGGGCTGAATTTTGTCCATCCCTTTTGGGAAAGTTTTTCCATAACTTTAAGTCAGTTTTATTGAGGTATAATTTATATATTTTAAATTCACCCCTTTTAGGTGCACAGTATGATGGGGTGACAACTGTATACAGTTGTGTGACCACCACAACAACCGTGATCTAGAACATTTCCCTCACCCAAAGCATTCCCCTGTGGTCTTTTGCAGCCAACCCCCTTCCCCATGTGCAGCTGCTGGCCAGCCCTGCTCTGCCTTCTGTCACTATAGTTTTGCCTTTTCTAGAGTTTCAGATAAGTGGATTGTACCTTACAGCATGTAGTCCTTTGTGTCTGGCTTCTTTTACGTAGCATAATGATAATTTTTGAGATCTGTCCACGTTATGTGGATCCATAGTTGGTTTCCCTTTACCACCGAGCAATATTCCATTGTATGGATATGCCTCAATTTGTTTATCTATTCCCCAGTAGATGAGTCAATACCTTTGGGTTCTTCCCAGTTTTGTGCCATTATGAATTAAACTATCACAAAATAAAATGTAGTTAACAATTGCATATAGGTCTTCCTGTGGACATGTGTTCTCCTTACTCTTAGGTAAATAGCCAGGAAAGGACTGTTGGGTCATATGGTGAGTAGGTTTAACTTGATAAGCAACTGCCAAACTGTCTTCCAAAGTGACAGCACCCTTGTGCATTCCCACAGGTATACATATTTGAGGACTCTGGCCACTGTGCCTCCATAATACCAGCACTTGGTATTATGAGTCTTTTTCATTTCAGCCATTCTAGAGGATGTATTGTGGTATTACATTTGGTTTTGTTGCGTTGTTTTGGATTAAATTTTGAAGTTCAGTTTCTCAGTTTTTTTCTTTTAATGGTTTTTGCTTAGTGTCCTAAGATGTCTAACCCAAGATCACAAAAACTGCTGCCTATATTTGCCCTTAAAATAAATGGTTTCAGGCTTACTCTTCATGTCGTCCGATTACTCTCCTCTGCCTTTGAACACAAACACTTCCCATATTATAGTAAGTCTGACGGAAATGTGTATTAAGTTTTTAAATTCATGCTTGGTGTGTACCTCCTTCACTATCCTGGGTCTGCGTTGCCTCCTATGTGCCTGTTTGTGCAAAGCCAGGCAGACACACACACGGAATTTTCTGGAATCCAAGGTCTGTCCTCTGTAGTTGTCCTCCCATGCTGCAGCAGAGGGCCTTACTTTGTGTCTCGCAGTCAAGCCGCTCATTATGACAGCTCACATGGCTTCCACAGAGAACAATAGGCCAGGCCCCACTGCAAACCCTTTTACGTATTTTAACTAACTTAATCCTCAAATCCCTGAGGAAGAAAATGAAGGCTCAGAGACTTCAGGCTCCCTATAATACAGCCAGTTAGTGGCAGGGTCAGTGAGATCCGGAGTGGCTTAATTCCAAGCACTTTGTTTTCCCCACTGTCATAAACCCCACAGGCTGTGGCTGGAGTCTTCCATGATTGAGCACATCTTGGGACCCAAAGCCACCTGATTGTTGTCTTTCTCTAATCAGATGCGTCTCCAGTCTCAGTTCAGACACCTGATTCTAAAGTCCTCCAGTGGGGCCCCTGGACAGAGGGTCCCCAAGGATGGCCCTTAGCCCGCAGGCGGAGACCCGCACGTGGCAGCAGGGCCCCAGAGGAAGGCAGTGTGGTTTGTGCTCTGCACAAAGTGCACAGCGAAGGGGACAAGTAGGGGCTGAAGTCATCCAGCCTGCTTTTGTCCTGTGGGCCCACGGGGCTGTGTCTCCCCAGAGGAGGTTTTTTGGTTCCTACAAATGCAGTGTATCTGCTAGTAATGGCCCTGTCCTCTAGGTGAAGCCGGCTAACCCCTGCGCTAGTGACCGCAAGTGCCGTCACGTGCTGAGTTAGTCACACATCCCACCCTCCTGGCCCTCACGACTGGCCGAGGACTGAGCGCATAACCCATGTCAGGAGATTCTTGGCCAATGAGGCTTAGTCTGGAGGCTCCTGTTTGAGGGCTGTGGGTCTCCTTCTTCTCAAGGTGAGGACTGGAGCTGTGGCAGCCAGTCCTGCAACTAGATGGGGCTTGATAATGAGGTTCATTCCCACCAAAAAGGGTCTAAAAATGCACAGAGAAAACCCTATTCTGCTGACTTTGTTGAGCCCTTGGTCAAGTTATGCCTGAAGCCCACATCTCCTCATGGACCCTGGAGTAATATATACCAATAAATTCTCTGTTTTGCTTAGACAGTCTGGCTCTCAGTTGTGACCAAGAACCCACCGACTAGTCCACACATAGCGCACCCAGGCCCACCCCCCCGGACCCCTTCCTGGCTCTGTCTCCATCACAGCACCTGTCACCCTCTCATAAGACATTATTTACTTATTTAATTAATTGAGTTTCTCCCTCCACTCACCCCTGTTGAAGTGTATGCTCTATAACGGCAAGAGATTTTTCGGGTTTGTCTCTGGAATGGGTTCTTAGCACACAGCATGCATTCAATAAAATTCTGTTGAATGATATACCTACTCGCTGAATAATTAAAGATTGCTAAAATTCCATATGCACAACTTTAGGAGACCAGGGCAGTCCTAAAGTTAACCAAGGACCAGCCTTCTAATAAGACATGTGGCTGCCTGCCCTCGTTTGGGAATGTCGCAAAGCGCACACTGCGCTCACGCATGTGCAACTTGTTGGCATTCCGGCAATTTCAGGGAGGCTGCTTACTTAGTGCTAGTCACCACGAGTGTTTTAGGTTAGTGATGCTGTTCGGATGGAACTGTTTTCATATTTTAAATATTTTTAATGTATTTACAGAATGACTGTTAGATTTCACTTTGTTTTGTGTTATTTGTCACTGTTATTTGTCACTTTTTGGATGTTTATTTTGTTTCTCTTTACTTTGCTATCATGAGCTCCTTTTCCTCAGGAGAGGATGAAACAATTAGGGGATGTGGGTGGGCCATGGTGTCTTTTATCTCTCATATGTGCCAGAGTCAAGAGACATTGAGAACCTCTACCTTTTTGGGATATCGTGATCCATGTTTTCTTTACATTCTGTTAATTTTTACAGGAAATACCACAGAACCTGGCACTTAATCCAACGAGGTTCTTACATGGCTCCTATCAGTCTGGCATTCCAGATTTATCTTCCATCTCTGTTACAGAATCTGATACTTTTGTTTGTTTCTCTGATGGTGGCTTGCCCAGAACACTCGTAGGAATTGGTGGGTTGCTTTTTGCTGAAGCTATCAACTTTGAAAGAATGACCCTTTTCCATCTGCCTGTCATCTTGTCTGAGCTCCCACCATTAAGATATTTATCCTTTGGGTTAATAAGCTTTTTCATGCTTAGAAGGAGCAACACAGGGGCACCTGGGTGGCTCAGTCGGTTAAGTACCTGCCTTCAGCTCAGGTCATGATCCCAGGGTCCTGGGATCGAGCCCCACGTCCAGCTCCCTGCCCAGTGGGGAGTTTGCTTCTCCCTCTCCCTCTGCTCCTCCCCCTGCTCGTGTTCTCTCTCTCTCTCACAACTAAATAAATAAAATCTTAGAGAAGAAGCAGCAGCAACACATTATTTCTGATGTCTTCCTCTTTGGTTACCAAAAGGGTGACAAGGGTGTGGAGGAAGGGAGGAAGAAGTGGAAGAGTGGCATGACTTCCCTTCTCCTCATTGCACTCTTCTCTGAGCCAGCGTGGGACAGCTGATCTCAGCCTGCTGAGGTCACAGGGGAGCAGGGGAGCGTCCTCAGGTTCAGGTATAGGACTCTGTGTTGACCAGCTGGCAGAGCAACATGGGCGAAGCCAATGGCCATCCACCCAGCCTGAAGCACATGGCCTGGCCACACGTCCTCTCCTCTCTGGGGCTTCTAAGAAATGCAAATGTGATCACACCAAAGCCACATTTTCTGTAATTGTCAAGCCAATATTATTTCTTCTTACGTGGCCAAGTAGATTCCTGACCTAGGGAGTCACGAATCTGTACGAGGGAAAAAGTACCTCCTGAGTATTGGAGAAACCGCCTCATAAGGGATCTCAAACCTCACTAGGCAAAGAGACTTGAGCAAGGTGACAGGGCTGCTAGTGGCCAGGGAGAGAGAAACATCGGGCCCAAGGCCGCTCCAGGGCATTGGCCGTGACTCTTGTCACAGCGTGCATACACTTCAACAACCCCCACCCACTCACCCCCACACTGAGGTTGGCCTGGCACATCGCCTCCCTCTCTAGTCAGACCAGGGCTGCAGCTGAGGGGGAGCTAGTCTGAGGAAAGGCAGGGACAAGGAGGAAGGAGATGAAGAGGCACGTGGGTATGTTCTCTGAGTCTTATTTCGCTGTTTTATTCCCATCACTATCAAACTGGAACAGAGCAGTCTTCTATGCAGACAGCTATTTATTGAGAGATGGCCCTGGAATCTATGGCTCATGTCAGCCTAATAGGGACCCTACTGGTAAACATTCCCCGTGGTGAAAGGAAAACTAAGCAGGTGTCTGAGCAGGAGGATCTGGGCACTAGAGAAAGGGCAGGGGGGTGCAGAAGCTGAAGGGGGCTGGGGGCTCACTCCTGACGTTCCTCCTCCTGTCTCCAAACCTTTGATGAGACATTTCCATTTGGCTATTCACCAGTCCCCTCCCTCCTCCGAGACAGCCAGAAGTGAGGAAGAGGAAAGCAGAGGACCATGGAGACAGATCCCGGGGTGACCTTTAGAGCTAGAAGCCACTGCCCTACCAGTGTTGAGGACTTGGCTTCTAACAAACCTAAAAAAGTGAGTCCAATAAGGGCCTCATCAGCCTCAGTTGCTATGTTTACTCGAAGATGATGATCAGAGGCAGCCAGCGCGCACAGAGGGAAGGGGACAGGGGCCCGCGCGGTATGGGCTCAGCCTGGATGCTCGCTCTATGGCTGGTATTTGCACAGGAAGTGCTGGTGCTTGCTGCAGTCATTGCTCTTCCAGGTCAAAAAATCTGCAAGAAAATAAAGAGATGCTCAAATCTATCTGGTTCTGTACTGCACTTACCCGCACGACCTGGGTGTTTTGCTTGCAACCCTCGGGAAGGTACCACCATGGTTCATTTCACGGGTCACCTGGGCCAGGATGTGTGCCCTGGTGTTGGGTCAAATGCCGGTCTACATGTTGCTGTGAGGGATTATTATTATTATTTTTTAGCTGTGATAAGTATCTAAATTAGTCGACTCTGAGTAAAGCAGATTACCCTCCATAATGTGGGTTATCATCCAATCAGTGAAAAGATGGAGTTTGCCCAAGGAACAAGGAATTCTGCCTCCAAAATGCCCCCAACTCAGGACTGCGATATCAGAGTCACTGGCCCGCCCTGTGCACATCAGCTTTGCCAGCCCGACAATCGCATGAGCCAATTCCTTAAAAGAAATCTATCTCTCAAGACAAGTATCATATGATCTCACTGATATGAGGAATTCTTAATCTCAGGAAACAAACTGAGGATTGCTGGAGTGGTGGGGGGTGGGAGGGATGGGGTGGCTGGGTGATAGACATTGGGGAGGGTATGTGCTATGATGAGTGCTGTGAATTGTGTAAGACTGATGAATCACAAACCTGTACCTCTGAAACAAATAATACATTATATGTTAAAAAAAAAAAAGAAGGAAGATAGTAGGAAGGGAAAAATGAAGGGGGGGGAAATCAGAGGGGGAGACAAACCATGAGAGACGATGGACTCTGAGAAACAAACTGAGGGTTCTGGGGGGTGGTGGGAGGATGGGTTAGCCTGGTGATGGGTATTAAGGAGGGCACGTTCTGCATGGAGCACTGGGTGTTATACGCAAACAATGAACCATGGAACACTACATCAAAAACTAATGATGTAATGTATGGTGATTAACATAACATAATAAAATAAAATTTAAAAAAAAGAAATTTATCTCTCTACATACGCATCCTATAACTTCTGTCTCTCTGAAGAACCAGACACTAACACTGGTCCTAACTTTGTTACCAGAAAGAAAAATAATTTAAATGTTACACACAATCGCAGAAGCCCATGCCCACATCCCTTCTGAGTCCCTCAGAGCTTGATATGAATCCACAGAAAGTGGGGGTCCTTTGTGTTGGAAACAGGATGCTGTGAGGGTGATTTCTCCAAAGTTCACAGCTGAGGCACTAAGCAGAGCCTGTTTGAAGGTCAAAGAATTGGAAGCCGCCGAGCCAGTCATGGCCCACAGGCCATCCTTTTATAAGGAAGGACCCAGAGCAAGGAGGAGGTGGGTCTTGAAACTGAAATGTTTTTGAGGAGAGGTCCAACTATGGCCACACACAGAGTCACTTGTCACGGTGGGTGTGTGCAGCAGAGCACCGAGTCTGGATGTCTGCCTGGCTCTGACCCGTCCTGGTGCCTCCTCCCTTCCTCAACACCAGGGAGGTGTGTGGAGGGGACCACAGCCCTCCCCTCCAGGCTGCGAGAACCCTGAGCCCAACCCGCACTGGGATAAGCATTTCACCTGTACGTATCCACAGGATTCGTACTCTTGGTTTGCCCCTTTTTATGGAGGGGCAACTGAGGCACAGAGAAGTAGGAAATCTGCTCAAGGTCACACAGCTACATGGAGGGATGGAATCCTACCCCAGGCATTCAGAATGCAGAGCCCAGGGTCTTGTCCCCCAACTGCACTGAATATGAAATTTCTCTTTAAATTGTAGCACCCTAGTTATCATTATTGAATGTGTCAGAGTGGACCAGTAGAAATGTCAGAAAACTCTGGCAAGTGCGATTTGCCAGAGAGTCCCGAGAGAGTTCCACTGTGGTGCAGAAAGGGAGTCAGAAAGGGTGAGAGAAGAACCAACCGGACAGAACGTCCTGGGAAGGTCCTTCTAAATGGACATAGCAGAGGAACAAGTCCAGTCACACACAGGATGTGGGCATGTGGCTGTGTTTTGGTCCATTAATACTATACCTTTGGAGTCTTCAAGAAACAATTCAGTCCCCGAGTTGGTGGGGCTAAATCTGTTACACAAATATAAAATGACACTGATGGGGCCAAGGGAAGGCTCTGTAAAATTCTCACTAGTCCTTGTTTCCTTCCTTGTGCTTTTCTGGCTTGAGCACCTGTATTCTGGTAGCTCAGAGCTGGGCTGAGTGACCCCGAGGAAAGGAAGAGATTCTGAAAGACCCAGTATTCTCAGGAGGACGTCAGGTTTCCCGGTCCCACGCAAGTGGCTTTGTTCCAGGCACTTGCCCCTGTGAACGTGGACCGACGGGAAAGACTTGTGTCTGAGAACTTGGTCCAGTTGAAATCTCAGAATCAGGGGAAGGACTCCGGAGGATATCTGGTCCATAGCTTCCTCAAAGGTATTCTGGCCTCCATCCCTAGAGCTTCGGATGTTGTAGGTCCAAAATGAGGCCTGGAATTTGTATTTTAAAAGTGTTCCTCAGTCGATTCTCCATGTGCCTTGGAGCTTCTCTTCTAACACTTTTAGCAGCTCTAGTGTCCACTTTTGCTTGGTTAACTTTAGTGATAGGGTTCTCACTACTTCCTGGGGGTAGCCCATTAGATTTTTGGGTAGTGTTAATTGCTCAAAAATTTTTTCCTTCATTTAGGCAGAAATCCACACTTTGTTAGCTTCTACCTATTGGTCTCAGTTGTGTTCCTTCCATCTGGGCTGTTTTGAGCCTTTCCCAGCAGCGGTTATGATCTCTGCAAGTCTGCGAGAAGTCCTTCCTTCATCTGTGAGGAGACCCTCTTACTGTGAAGGGTCTAGACCATTCATACTTTGCTGCTGGTAAGTTTTCCTCCTCTTTTTTGTGCATATAAACTTTATTCCTCAGACGACAGCCACCCTGCCTCATGTCCCTGAGTCCTTAGTCCAGGCCTTTCCCAGACCCACTTCCTGCCTGGAAGGGTGTTCTGGTGACACCTTGGGGCCTTTTAAACCCACTGGTGTGGTCTTTGGCATCGAGTAGCCTCTTTATCTTTGATATTCTGTTTTCTTGTTTTACAACGGAAATCTTCCACATCACTTACCCACTGTGGTTCTCAAATTCAAGCGATTATGCCTCCTAAGGGATATTTAGCAACATCTGCAAACATTTTGGTGGAAACAACTTGTGGGGGGGGGGAGCGGTGGTTCTACTGACATCTAACGATTAGAGATCAAGGTATCCTAAACCTACGAAGAACAGGGCAACCCCCACAACGAAGAATTATCCAGCTCCAACTGTCTTTGGTACAAAGGTCGAAAACTCTACCTTATTACATAAAAAGCAAGGAATGAAAGAAGACAAGAGAAACAAGGAGACTCACATGATTGTGTGCAGCCTGCCGCTAAGGGTCTGGGCCCTGCACTTTGGGGACAAAACTCAGGGAAACAAACAAAAGGGAAGAATGCAGGCCAAGAGGAGGTCCCCAGGGTTCCCAGGGAACCCTAACTATCAAGAAGTCAGCAGGGGGTCCCACATATTTGCACCTGGTAGTCTGGGTTTCCCAAAATGTGGCATCTTTCCCCCTCATTGTATGAATATAATAGGATTTAAAAATAAGCATATTTAAGGGGAAAAGTGAGTGGATTTAAAGAACATACTAAGTAAATAACTGAACAGCTGGGTCATAGGTGTGGCCAAGATTGTAACATGGTCACAGCCGACTGAAGGTTGCTACACCAGGTCTGTGGCAAGGGCCTGTCCTGTAGGAAACGGAGTCACTGGTGCGGATGGGGCGACGGGGAGCGGACGTTCCATTTTTTGCTCTTACAGGGAAAGGGCAGGAGCTCTGATTTGGGAAGAGGCGAGGGGCGGTGCGTGAGAACTTACTGTCCTTGAAGCTCATCTCCACACAGTACTCGTCCCTACGCCTGGACGCGCCAGACCAGCTTCTGTAGCCAGAGAAGGCCCCATCGATCCACTGCCATTGTTGCCTCTGCAAGTAACCAGAGATGGAAGACGGTCCGCCTGCAGGCCTCACAGCCCCTTAGAAACTTGTAAAAATCGGGGCACCTGGGTGGCTCGGTTGGTTAAGCGACTGCCTTCGGCTCAGGTCATGATCCTGGAGTCCCGGGATCGAGTCCCACATCGGGCTCCCAGCTCAGCGGGGAGTCTGCTTCTCCCTCTGACCGTCCCCCGTCTCATGCTCTCTCTCTCTGTCTCATTCTCTCTCTCAAATAAATAAATAAAATCTTAAAAAAAAAAAAAGAAACTTGTAAAAATGTGCCATTGCAAAAACTGGGGAAGCCCAGAAACATGCACGGAATGAAACATAGAAAACTCACCCCATTTATTCACCGAGAGGAAAACATCACTAACAATTTGGCATATTTCCTTCTGCTGTAAACATTTTTCTCTACCACCATATTTTTATGTGCTAACATATGTGGTGATCTTTAAAATACTTCTTCAGCTACGCACCTTGCTTTCTAAACATTTTTAAATGGTAATGATGTACTAGAATATACCTTAATTCTGTTGATGATATTTACATTGTTTCCAACTTACTCTTATTATAAAGAATACTGCCATGAACAACTTTGTTCCTAGAGCTGTTTCTGCACTTAAACTTATTTTCTTAGGATAGAAACCCGGTAGTAGAATGAATGGGTCAAAGGGCATCAATATGTTGAGGATACTGATATGCATGGCCAAACTACCTCCCAAACACTTCAGTTGTAGGAATTTAAGTCCCCATCTACTGGACAACTTTTCTATATCCTTAAAAATGTTACGCATTAAGACAAAGCGAAAGCTTGATGATCTGATAAGTCAAATTATATTGCTATTTTAATTCGCATTTCTTCGATAACTAGAGACATTGAACAATTTTTGAAAGGATTTTATGAGCTATTAACTTTCTTCAGTTATGAATGTAGAAAATTAAATCACCAAAACAAATCTGGTATAAATAGATGTAAATATTTGTCTGGACTCTGACGGAGAGAATTCTGATTGATAGCAATGTGAATAGATAAAAATGTATAATTAATTGTATAAAATGCTGGCGACATCTATGGCAAAATTTTGTCAAGAAACAAAGGCTGGGGGTTCTCTTCTTGTGTTTCTTATGTCTGTTTGGGTTAATGATAGAAGACCCACAAAGAATCTGTAAACTGCAGGTCCCACATAGAGACCTCCACCACCAGCTCAAAGACCTCACGTGCCATTCTTTACAGTGAGGTGTTTGATGGAGACTGAAATGAGGGACTAGTGAAAAAAATTATGGATGAAATAAAAAGCACAATAGCATCTAGGAAAAGGCTTGGCTGAAAGTTCTCAACTTGAACTCAAGATCTAATGGGAATTTAATTAAGCCAGATCCCATAGCAGGTGTGTGTGTTTATATACACGTATATATATGTATGTTTATATATATATGTATGTATATACCTGTATATACTTACACAACTTTTTTTAAGGCTCTGAAAAGCCGGTCATTTGGTGTTCTAAGATTTGGGAGGACTTTACTTAGAAGTTCTATAAAATGATGCCATTGAAAGGCGCCTGGGTGGCTCAGTCGTTAAGCGTCCGCCTTCGGCTCAGGTCATGATCCCAGGGTCCTGGGATCGAGCCCCGCATTGGGCTCCCTGCCAGAGGGAAGCCTGCTTCTCCCTCTCCCACTCCCCCTGCTTGTGTTCCCTCTCTCGCTGTCTCTCTCTCTGTCAAATAAATAAATAAAATCTTTAAAAAAAATAAAAAACATGTCAAACTCTTTCTGGTGTATTCTGGGCAGTAGGGATAGAGAGGGCATTTCAGTATAAGAATTGGCAATGGGTGCACCTGGGTGGCTCGGTCGGTTGGGCATCTGCTTTTGGCTCAGGTCATGATCCCAGGACCCTCGGCTGGAGCCCCATGTCGGGTTCCCTGCTCAGTGGGAAGCCTGCTTCTCCCTCTCCCACTCCCCCTGCTTGTGTTCCCTCTCTCGCTGTCTCTCTCTCTGTCAAATAAATAAATAAAAATCTTAAAAAAAAAAATGATGCCATTGAAATAATTTCCTCCACTGAGAGCCAGAACTGAGACCCAGAGCTTGAGGCTTTGGCCTCTATGGATTGGAGGCAGTGACTGAAGGAGATCCACAGCCTGTGTCCCTGTCAGTAGGCCTGGAGGCCGTTTCCCAGACTAGGGGCTATCTATCCAGCTTTGCCCAGGGGGCATCGGTGGGCCACGTCGGAGGTTACCTTTTGTGGGTCATGCAGGCCGATCCACACGGGCTGGTTTCTTTGGTAGCCAGTTATGTGTTTTGCTATGATGGCGGCTTCTTTTACATTCTGGAGAGACGCTAGGTGGGCTCCGTTTCCGTAGGACTGGCACTCGAGCTGTGGGCAAGACGTCTTGCTAATCATCTCTTGAGTTTTATTTTTTTTAAATTTTTTTTAAAAAGATTTTATTTATTTATTTGCGAGAGAGAGAATGAGAGACAGAGAGCACGAGAGGGAGGAGGGTCAGAGGGAGAAGCAGACTCCCCGCCGAGCAGGGAGCCCGATGTGGGACTCGATCCAGGGACTCCAGGATCATGACCTGAGCCGAAGGCAGTCGCTTAACCGACTGAGCCACCCAGGCTTCCCTCATCTCTTGAGTTTTAAAAGCATAATCCTCACCCCAGAACCCTAGGGCTCCAAGCAACGTGGAGCGCACAGCCCCACCTCTCCCAGAAGTTGAGATCTACACCCTGTGACACTGCCTGTCTCCAGAGGAGAAAACGCAACTGCCCCAAGTGTGGGGTCTCGGAGGAAGAGGCGGCTCGAGGCAAGGTTGTGAGCTTTAGGGTCAGTGGACGTGCCTGCGGTCCTCCTGGTCTTGCCCCGAGTTACTGTATGTGACCTTGACAAGTCACATGACCTCTCGGAGGCTCACACTCCTTACCTGTAAAGTCGAAGAAATAATTACTCTGCTACACAAGGCTCACTACATCACTACATGATGCCATTGAAAGGCGCCTGGGTGGCTCAGTCGTTAAGCGTCTGCCTTTATATTATAAATGGCTATAATTATAATATATAAAAAATTATAATGGCTATAATTAAATATTCTAATTCTGCATTTCAACAAATCTAAGAAATCACTGATTATAAAACGTGCCCTTTGTCTCATGTCCCACTAGAAAGGAAAGAGAGAAAAAAAAATCAGTGCCACTTTATCTAAGGGAACACACGTGAACAGGATGAGTCTAGAGCAGATAGAATAAGGTGGGCTCTTCACGCAGCACCTCCAAAATGATGAGCACCTCACACACAGTATCCCGCTCAATCCTCACGCCAGTCTCAGGAAGTAGGACCCACCTTTAGTTTATGGTGGAGAAATGCACGATCGGAAAAGGGCGTTAGACTTAGTTGCCCAAGAATAGAGCCCAGGTCTGTGTAACTCCCAAGTTTGATGTCGGTTTTATTGTAAATTATTCTGGCCCTATACTGCACAAGAATAATATACTGTAAATTGTAAACGGTGCTCTGTACCTTATCTTTATTTGGTACCAAATAGGAACAGTGTGGACTGTCTACAAATCTGTGATGCTTCCTCCAAGGAGAGGGGAGACTCCTCAGATGCTGGTCGAGAATTGAAGATCCCGTGTTCGCGACCTTCTGATTCTAGATGAATGTGCCTGTCTGTTTGCTTTTCCTCAGCAGTGGCCATAAGATTTAATCTAGTTGGAGTTTTGAGTGTTTTCATCCCAGTTAAACTAGACCAGGGGCTGGGGTGCAAGCATGTATCTATCTACTGGTGCAACTTTCCAGACCCAAGTTTGTTTTACTCCTGTATGGTTTTTTTTCATCCCAAATTCTTGTTCTTCAAAGATGCTACTTTCATTCCTATGCAAGAGAATGCAGGTGGGATTTTTCTTATCGATTACTGAATGATAATCACATTTTGTTTCAGGTATCGGATGGAAGATGCGGCATAACCATTCCCTAACCAGAAATTTACTGTCCAATTAAACGAGACAACCTTTTATATACACACGTCTTAGAGCTAGATAGAGATATATATACTTATTTTATGCTCTTTGGGGGTTGTGTTACAGGATCTGCCTACATGATAAAACCTAGTTTAACACAACTTAGTTGAATAAAAACATGGCTTTGGCTGGGGTTGCTATTTTAGTGCTTCCCTCTGGCATCCTGCTCATGATGAGATGTGGTTAGAGTTGAATATTCATACAGGCCTCCCACTTGTCAACCACTTCACAACACCAGAATGCTTCCAGACCCCTAATTTCATTTGACTTTCAAACTTGTGAGGCATGGAAGCCAGATTACCAGTCAACATTTGGTGAGAGTACCAGTCACAAAGGACTCCTGGGACAGAAGAGGAAACAGGCTCCAAGTGGTTCCGTGAGATTTTCCTCCAAGTTCCCACGCCTGGTAGTGAGGGAACCGGGCCTGGAACCCAGACCTCTCTGCCTCTCGTGTGCGAGATCAGATCTACCCATCATCTTCATGGCCCCCTCCATACCAGGGCTCTCGAGAACTAAGACTGGCCCTCAACTCTGGCAACTAGTCAAGCAGTAGCAGGGGCCACGGTAAAGGTTTGCCGGGTCCTTTTCCAGCACCTTCTCTGCATTCGGTTCAGGAGTAACCGGTCAACTCTGCTAAGACTCTGGATCCATCCTCTGGACTGTTTTTGCCTTGAGAACCTCAACTGAGCACCCAGCCTCTGCCGTAGGCTCTTTGCAAGTTATTTTAATGAATCCTTCTGAGAAGCCTGTAGGGTAAAGTGCCATCCCCATTTTAAAGCAAGAAAACCAATCAAGTGAGGTATGACTTAACTCTGTAAGGCAGGGTCATGATTTAAACTCAGGTCTGTATGACTCCCAAGTCCCCCAGGTATCTTCCTCTTTGTGTTGGCAGAATTCAGGTTGGAATCTCTGGAGACAGGCAGTACAGGTGACCTTTCAAGATTTCTTCAAGTTTGCTTCTCAAGAATTGAGGAGACGTTCATTGCTCTCCACCAGCTTTCTTTCTTTCAGCAAACAGTGTCTGGGAAACCCCTTCTTCATTTAGTGTTTTCTCTCTCTCTCTTTCTTCCTCTCTCTCTCTCTCTCTGTAACCATCATCCACATCAGCCCAGGAAGCACTGCATTAGGGCTGATTTCCCTGGGTTTGTTCCACTAGTTACTCTGGGTATAATCTTGGGAGAGTCACTCATGCTCACACTGCATCGAAATCTTCTGTTTAAGTGTCACAATCTTGCACTAATCCTGCACTTTTTAAGGCCAGAGAAGACTTTATAGCTTCAATAGCTGTCACTTGATCACTGAGTTATTTATAAACAGAATTCTGAGGCCATTCTGGGCCCAAATCACACCACATTTCCCCATAAGGTGCCCCCAACCAGTCACGCCCATTAAAGAACCACAACCCAGAGAAACAGCTGCATGGGCTCCCCACACTCCTCGGAGGTGAAGTGGCTACTTGGGTGTCTTCTAGACAAAGCCTCAGTGAAACAAAACCAGCGCCTTTGTTGGGGGCTGTGGGCAGTGAGGCCTTCCATTTGTTTAGACTGCTTCACTTTCTGTCAGGCGGTTCTGAAGACCGTGCCCCAGGCCTGGCTGCACACTGCTCTTTCTGGCAAATGAATGAGTGCGACACACAACCGCCTTCTCCCCATTTCAGCAGCCAGGTGCCTCCTCAGAATGCCAAGGCAGGACCCTTACTTCTGAGTCACATGAGACCTGCAGCACCTGGTGGCCCCTGGCTTTAGAGACACCCGTCCAAGCATGGGGCCTGGTTTCTTACCTCAGCTTCAGACCAGCTCCTCAGCTTCCGGAAGTATCCGTAGCAACTGGACAGGTGGTAAAACCATCCAGGAGCACAGCTGGGTCTCACGAGGACGTCTGCACAGACACCAGAGGCAAGCACAAGTTAGGAGGGCAAAAACAATCACTTCCCACGTGGTCGGTTTCCAGAATGACCCGGAGACGGGGTGCCCTGAGGAAAGATCCTGCTAAGCTGCCAAGACTTTATACCGTTCATCTTTCTCCCAGCCTTCTCCAAAGGGAACTACGGCCTTTATAAGGGTAACTGTGCATTGGAGAAAAGGATACAATCAGAGCTTTTGAGGATCACTGGTGGGCGCTGGTTCTGAACTGACACGAATTCCATGAGACTCAAAAACGTCACTGTGGTCCATCTGAGGAGGGGCTTATGGAGCTCAGGTGACCACAGAGGTTTAGCTAGGAGGTTCACGGCAGGCCCGGTGGGACCCGCAGCCCACCCTGTGATTGTTTCCCCGGTTATCGAATGCACGATTGGAACAGACATACTGAGCAACCGACACAATCCCCACTTTGGTCGTGAGGTCGAACAGCCAGAATTGAAGGCAGCACAAGGTTTTAGGCATTACAAGGAAGGAGTGGTGGTTTCGGCCAGGGGGACACAGGACAGGTTAGCACTGAAGTTTGCCTTAAGGAGAGGGGATCGTTCGGGCGCAGTTGGTTAAGCGACTGCCTTCGGCTCAGGTCATGATCCTGGAGTCCCTGGATCGAGTCCCGCATCGGGCTCCCTGCTCGGCAGGGGGTCTGCTTCTCCCTCTGACCCTCTCCCCCTCATGCTCTCTCTCTCTCAAATAAATAAATAAAATCTTTAAAAAAATAAAAATAAAAATAAATTTTAAAAAAAAGGAGAGGGGATCTTTCAGGCAAGTGTGGTGGAAAGGAGAAGGAGAACCAAGGCCTGGAAGCCAAGGAAACTGTGACAGAGAGAGGCATGGGCTCTTCCTGCTAGTTGAGTAGTGAGGGGGCCGCATCTGAAGGTTCAAGAAGCAAGGAGCTGGCTGGAGATGCAGATGGCCTAGATGAAGGGAAGGCCAGGCTGGTACGTTTGGGCTTCGTGACCCCGTGGCCACGATCCAGTGCTAGATGGGAGTGCAGAGCTCCTCCTGCTCCTGGAGGATGTCCACAGACTGTGTCACATCGCGAGTGTTTCCTCTCTCGCTACTCAAATGACACCACTGTCCCTTGTCTGCCCCATTCTCCTGTTCTATTTCATCCCATGCCTGAAAATCTCTAGGGACTTCCTATGCTTTCAGATAAGCTCCCAACTCTGGCTAGCATGGAAGGGCTTCCGTGACCTGGCTCCACAGCCCTCTCCAGCTGGGTTTTCCTGCGCAGCAACCCCAGAAAGTCTCTACAGCTGGGAGGATGATCTGTGGAGGAGCAATGGAATGACCGGTGGGAGTGTCCTGGCTCTACTTCCTTCCGGGGGATAGAAACCAGAGAGCTTTGGTGAAGTCCCAGAGTAGGGTGACTGGTTTCTCACTCCCTGGGTTTAGCTGGGATGAATTTCAAGCCCCTGCAGGGAAGCCAGACCCAGAACAACAGGGAGCTAACTCTCTGGTTAGTTGGCTCCACAGGAGGGCTTGGGGGCTGCCTCCCATAGTCTTTCATACTCTAGCATGGGTCAGAGAAAGTGGCTGAATCCCCCAGGTCCCGACCAGCCTAAGGATTGAGAAAACTGGTGGCTGGCAGTCGGCATGGGGGGAGGGCGGAAAGCCTTTGAGTACAAGGACATATCAAAGGTAGGCTAAGGCGAGGACCACAGACTTGAGCCCAGGACACCAACATGATGCCCAAAGAACACTGCTTCTGTTCCTTTGCCCTCCCAATGCATCTCCCCTTGGCCAAAGTATTCCCCAGTGGGAGGAATGCCAGGTTATATACATGTTCAGGCATGGTTTCCCTCACGGGGCTCATGGGACTATGAGAGGCACCGTGGACTAGGAGCCCGAACATCACATAATCTTGCTATGTGATCTTGGGCAAGTCTAGACTTCCTTCGGGCCTCATCTTCCTTGTAAACAGAACAAAGGCATTACACCAAATGTGCCCACATTCCATTTCTTTCCATTTCAGATATTCTATGATACACATCCTTAGCTCATGCATACCGCTTTCTTCCTGGCTTTTTCCACTGGAAGATCTTAGGGTATCGATTCTCACTCTGTTGACATGTTACTTTGTACCCGATGCTGGGACTACACGGGTGTAGGAGCCATCTCTCCAACGAGGCTCTAAGTTCCTTGCAAACCAAAATTCCCAGTATGTTCGAGTGGGAAAACGATGCATGAACATTGGGTAGCTCTGTACTTGCTGACTGCTAGGTGTCATATGCTTCAAATACATTACCTCCACCCGTCACAAGGAACTTGTAAAACAATTGCCATAACCGACATTTAGTTGATCATTTAACTATGGTTCACAACCACACAAGGCGGAATGTGTTTGAGTCTACAGTCCTCGCGCTTTTTGCCACATAACATTGTCTTCTGTTTCTGTCTTTGACATCTGTTTTTTTTTTTCTTTTTAAAGATTTTATTTATTTGACAGAGAGAGACACAGCGAGAGAGGGAACACAAGCGGGGGGAGTGGGAGAGGGAGAAGCAGGCTCGCCGAGCAGGGAGCCCGATGTGGGGCCTGGGGTCACGACCTGAGCCGAAGGCAGATGCTTAACCCCTGAGCCACCCAGGCGCCCCTGTCTTTGACATCTATTGCCTGCAGCAGCTAAACATGGTGTGGGGCGAGTGGAAGGCTGGGGGTGTGCTGCGTGAACACTGGCTGTGGGCTCAGATCCAGCTGAGTGACTGATACTCACTACCCAGGACTTCAGTGCTGGCTACACAGCTCAGCACCAGGAGCAGCCGCAGGCTGTGGGGGGCCATCTTCCTCTTCCCCGGGGCTGCAGGAGTGCTTCGGAAACCTCTCCTATAAGGGTCTCAGAGACCTTGTGAGTTTTCCCTCAAAGTTCCTGGATTCGCCTGGGTCTGCAATCTGAGCACAGTGGGTGAGACAGACCCAGGAATTTAGATGCCAAATCACATATGGAGGGGAAAAAAAAAATGTTTTTCTTGCTAAACCCAGATTATACAACAAAGGCAATCTCAAGCTAACTGTAGAGATTAGGAATATTTAATTTATGTCACCTGCAAGGCCTCTGGTCCAGTGCCAGAGACCTAACCGGACTGGGCTTAAAGTCTGGAGGAAAGGCATTTGGTATATTGTGAAGAGCCTGCTCCTGCTATTCTCAAGAGGACCAGCAGAGGGAGCCTAAGGCAAACTTTCTCAGAGACGGGGCAGGAACCGTCAACTCCATTAAATCAAGTCAGTCCCAAGAGTGAACTTGTCTGTGTTAGAATCAAAAGTGCACATATGGTCCAATACCCATATTTTACAGGTGAGAGGACCTGAGGTCTATGGGTATGAAGTGGTTTATTCCTTGTCACACAGCTACAACTAGATACCCTCACTTTAGGGCAACCCTCTTTCCTTCACACTTAGGTGATAACCACATTTTTTTTTTTAAAGAAAATTATCTTTCCCCATCACGAGACAGTACATGAATTATTAAAATATCCGTGAAAAACTGGAAAATAGGAAATAAATTCTATCTCCTAGCTTTTAGTGAATAGCATATAGACATCTTTCTAGGTACATCTACGTGTCGGTTTGTGTATCATTTTTATATAAATCGAGTCATGTTACCTGGTTTCATTTCTCAGAAACTGATTGATTGTAATGAACCTTCTTCCCCTAGCATAACTATTATGCAGTTTCGATCCCCTCTTTAGTATAAATGCACATACTCAGGGCTGTGACTTCACAGAACACGCACGTTGTCACACTGATACCCTTGGCTCAAATGCCCTCTGCACGGGCTGTTCTGTACGTCCCAGAACACAGACAGCAATGCTGGTTCCCCCAAACTTCAAGGAACACCCAATCTGTCCATTTTTTTCTTGCTAATTTTGGCACAATAAAGAAAAGTCTCACTGGTTAGTATTTTTTTAATATTCATAATTAAATTACTTAAATTGGTAATTTTTAAAATTTTTCAAAATATATAAAAAGAAGTTGAACATCTTTTTATATAATGATTGATTGGGCTTTTTAATTTCTTTGGTACATTTTTAGTTTACAGCTTTGCACATTTTTTCTGTTTGATTGCCATCTTTTTTCTCAGGAATCTGTAGGGCCTTTCTTTGTGCATTTATTGCCTTTCATATATTACTAAACATAGTTCCCATTTTGTATTTCTTCTTGTTTATCTTTTGCCACACTGAAAACTTCAAAAATTGTCATATTTACCTTCTTTTTTATAACATTCAGAATTTATATCAGAAAAATGGGCCATTACCATCCACGTAAGATTAAAATATCTACCCATATTCTCTTTTATTTTCATCCATCTGGCATTTATTTTAGTGTAAGCATGCAACTGGGTCCAAGATTTTCTTCCAAACAATTATTAGGATGAGTAATTCATCGAATCCTCCCTTGAGCATACTTTATGATCCAAAAATCAGAATACATATTCTAACTATAAAATAATAGATCGCTTAAGTGGAATGATGGAACATAATATTCAACTTTCCTGGACAATCTGAAGGTTCGATCCATAAACAGGTCCATGTGAGCACTCTGACACAGTGTGAATAAAGAAGGAAACCAAATGGTGAAGATTGTGATGGATCCCCCCCAACCTTTTACATCATTGCATTAACCCTGCACTTCTCTGAGGCACCTCCCTTCCGAAGGTGACTGAGGTATGTTCAATGTCCTGCAACCCCCTTAAAACACAAACAGCAAGGACTTCTCTGTCCAACCAAATGTCTGGGGGAAGGGAGGTACAGCATCTTTTGGAATAATCTGTAAGTGGATCTTAACAAACTGACATTCACTGGATGCTCCCATGTCACCTAATCTAATCATAACTAGGCTTCCTTGTAGGTATCATTAACTTATTTTACACACAAAGACACAAACTTCATTGAGATTAAGGAACTTTCCCAAAGTTTCACGGCTGCTAGATTTCACAGCCATGATTTAACCCGATGCTGACACCAAAGGCAATGCTCTTTATAATAAGGGAAGAAAGAAATGCATAGTTCAAGTTAAAAAACACAGCAGCAAAAACCATGACTAACATCATTAGACCTAGAGCATGTCGTTTCTGGCCCAGTGAAAAGCTGGTAAAGGAAAACAGATATTCAAAGAAAGCCTTCTGCCTTCAACCGGATGATTACCTGGTTGGCCCTCAAGGCTTTGAGGACCCCTGCCTTCTTCGGTGTCCTGAGAGATCCCAGGCAGTTTCTTGAGTTCTTATATCTTCTTGCTTCCAGAATTATATGACCTTTGTTTTAATCATAACACAATAGTATTGCTTGAAGTAATAATCCATCCATAAAAGTCTTATCTGTAGTCAAAGTGAATATGTGAGAGAAGGCTTGAGAATAAATCAAATAGCCAGAAGAACCCCTCCCTGTTGGTAAATAGTCTTTCCTTTCCATCCCACCTTATCAAACCTGACAACGCCCTGTGATCTGTTAGAAGCCCATCTTCTCTCCCTGTATTTACTTTTTCTTCTGTCACTCTTTTTTTTAAGATTTTTTAAATTTATTTGACAGAGAGAGACACAGTGAGAGAGGGAACACAAGCAGGGGGAGTGGGAAAGGGAGAAGCAGGCTTCCTGCTGAGCAGAGAGCCCCATGCGGGGCTCGATCCCAGGACCCTGGGATCATGACCTGAGCCGAAGGCAAACACTTAATGACTGAGCCACGCAGGCGCCCCTAGTTAAGAGTTTCTTTCTTTATTTTTTAATTTAATTTAATTTATTTATTTGACAGAGAGAGACAAAGAGAGAGAGGGAACACAAGCAGGGGGAGTGGGAGAGGGAAAAGCAGGCTTCCCGCTGAGCAGGGAGCCCAATGTAGGGCTCAATCCCAGGACCCTGGGATCATGACCTGAGCCAAAGGCAGACACTTAACGAATGAGCCACCCAGGTGCCCCTTCTGTCAATCATTTTTTCTCTTTCTACTGTCAATTTCCTTTATTTCTCCTTCCTTTGTATAAAGATGCCCCACTTCAACTCTGGAGAATCAGGATGTGTCTATCTTTGCAGAAAGGATTTGCCACCAGGTCTGGACATAAGTTATGCACCCCCATGGTGTGCTTGAGGGGTCCATACAGACTTTCCTCTTTAAGGCACCAACCCCATTCCCTTCATCATGCACCCCATTCCTCAAATACCTGTTTCAGCTCCTTCTCCTGTTCTTCAGAAACAAGGCGCTGAAATCTTGTCCTAATGGGGGGCAATTATGTCAAAATAGTGTACACTGATACAATATTTTACCATGCAGTGTTCTCACTTGAGTCATTACATGAGCTCCTACCAGAATCCCTGGGAGTGATGTAGGACATATATCCCCATTTCACACTGAAGAAACCGGATGTTAACAGAGAGTAGAAAGCCTGCTCAGTCTGGATCATAATGCTGGTCAGTGGTGGAGCTGGACATTGACCTCAGGCCTTCTCTGTTTCCTGAATCACACATTCTAATTAAGAAAAGAATCTATTTCGAAAAGGCAACACGATTTCCTTCTCTGGTGTAGATAGCAAAATATTAAACTATGTTGAAGGTGTCAGAGATCATTCAACCTCAACAGACTAGAACATTAAGGCCGGGAAGGATAACATTATTTCTCAGGTCCTGTGCTTTTGCTCTACCGCTGAGGAACCTGGGGCCCAGAGAAGCACCAGGACTAATTCAGTACACAGCTAGTTCAGAGTGAAGCTGGTATCAGAAGCTAGACTTTCTTCCTCTCAGCTCAAGGTTCTTTTTTTTTTTTTTTTAAAGATTTAATTTATTTATTTGACAGAGAGAGACACAGCGAGAGAGAGCACAAGCAGGGGGAGTGGGAGAGGGAGAAGCAGGCTTCCCGCTGAGCAGGGAGCCCGATGCGGGGCTCAATCCCAGGACCCTGGGATCATGACCTGAGCCGAAGGCAGACGCTTAACAACTGAGCCACCCAGGTGCCCCTCAAGGTTCTTTTTACAAAGCTACTCGGGCTTTGTCATCCGCTTTTTTCTAGCCTGTATATACATCCATGGAGGACAAGAGAAAGTCATGTTTCCATGTTGTACAAAGTGTATTTTAGAGAACCTCTGCCATTCTGATGATGCTTTGGGGAAAGAACACAAGACCTGGCTTCTGGTGGATGTGGGTTCAGGTCCTAATTCTGTTACCTACTCGCTGTGTAACATTGGGTGTGCTCCTGAACCTCACTGTGCCTCAGTTTCCTAACTGTATGTGGCAGGATATTACCAGATGAATTTTGTTTTTTTACACTACCTGTTAAACACAGCTTTTTCCCCTTTAGGCGGCTGAATGGGAATCATCATTGTTTACTGACACAACAAAGAACAAAGTTATTAATTCCAAGCCTTTTGCGTTCAAAAGCTCTGGTCCAGATGTAAGAGAGAAAGTTTTGACAAAATATATGTCTAGGGAGATTTCCCAACCCGCAACCTTTACCCTGCTAGCTTCATGTCACTATATAAAGATTTTAAGGTCTTGAGATACAAGAGGGAAGAGAAGGAGATGAGACAAGAGGATTAGAAACTCATAGGACTTTAAGTGGTCTTACATGGAATCCTCCCATTAGTTAGCTCCAAACCAGGGCATTGATGGAACCCACATAAAACTTTGGAATATAAGAACACAGAGAACTCAAGTAATATCTGAACTGAAAAGCACCACTGAATACTGAGTAGAATTATTTGAAATTTTTCTACATGTAGACACATCATACATGAAAGTTAGAGAGAACCCAAAAACTGCAAATCAGCAATTACCTCCAAAGCTAGGTCAGAATAGTATCATACC